TAGGGCACCAACATATTGAGGCCTCTATCTACATGCCATGAAACCATAAAAAACAAATACAATCTCATTATGTCTCTCGTAAAAAGCATTTTAAATTACCTTTCATTTGATATTTTGATCTTTGAAATCGGCCCGTGGTTGAAATGTTATGAATTTGATTTGGGCGATTCAAAAATCATAAATGGGGCAAAATGAACTACTTCCCGTGGTCTCCACTATCTGATACTTTTTCTAATCTATTCGTTGGACTTTCCACATAAAAATTATTTGTTTCGGGGCTGAGATCTAGTGGCAGAATACCAAGCTATTATTATTCCCCCAAGCAACGAGAAAAGGGGGCAAAACAAGCCATTTTCCGTGATCTACACTATGCAATACATGCTCCAAGCGATTCACTGTTTATTTTTCCTCATAAGAAACGTGTCTGGAATCATGCGGCAGTATTCAAAGATATTATCAATTTCCCTTAAATAACAGGCTTTGGAGAATATGGGGCCAAATGGGCCAATTACCGTGATTCACACTATTCGTTACATGTTCCAAGTGATTCGTTGGATTTTTTCACATAATATATAATTTGCTTCATGTTTGAAATCTAACAGCAGTATTCAAAACTATTATCAATTTCCTTTAAATAACGAGTTAAGCGAAAATGGGGCAAAATGAAGTATCTAATTGGTCTGAACAGCGTGAGATTAAATACAGTTGATTTCTTGGCAAGCTACCATTTAATTCACTTCATGACTGAAGATCACCGGCAGTCACATTTTCGGATTTTTTAACACAATAATAGATATATCACACCTCCTGAAACCTGCGGCATGAAATAAGTGGAGCCCTGGGTAATTTTTTATGTACTTTTCGTTGTATGCTAAAATCGTTGCGGTTGTATAACTTGATTTTAGTGTGTATTTTCCACATGTGCTACAGGGAAAATGTGGCATAAGCTGGGTACATTCATTATATTTTAATGATTTTAATGTATCTAAGACATTATTTAAAAATAGAACTGAACATTGATTTTAATGTATCTAAGCTATTATTTAGAAATAGAACGTGATTTACTTGATGCCAGATTCCTATTTAAAAAACAACCGAAGGAAATCGTGACCGGGCATTTTTCGCCGCAGTACATTCCAACTACCTCGGCTGAGATTGAATCCAGACGCATTGGGATGAGAAAGTAGTCACGCTTATCACTCAACCACCACCATAGTGTTTACCCATATGGGACTTATATGCGGTTATAATCAGTGTATGACAAGCTTGCCGATGGCCGAGCAGGAAATGGCGGGCTTGGTTCTCTGATCGATCGACCATTTTATCGGGTTGAGATTTTCTCAACTTCTCTGGACGAATAATAACTACGATGTACTCCAACATTTAATTGAGGGCAGGTGAAAAATTCCAGTTACGGATAGCTATGTTTTCTTCATTCCTTTATTAAACGTCGGTCTCTGTTCCGCAATCTAGTGCCAATAACCGACGGACATCAATTGCCATCCATTGACGGCAATCGAATAATGTGCAGTAAGGCAACTTCCATACCTGCATAGGATATCGCACCCAAATACACATGGGCCGGGACCACAGCTTTACTTCCCTTCCGAAGGAAGACGTGACCAGAGATTTGTATGCCTCAAAAAAATCCAATCGACCTCGGCTGGAATTGAACCCAGACCCATTGGGGTGAGAAAGCAGTCACGCTTACCACTACACCACCGGCGCCGGCTATGGATAGCCATGGTGAATAGAAACAATATATTGAGCAAAACGCTTAAATATTGTCATTGCTAATAAAAAATAACCCCTACCTGCTAATAAAACATAACAAAGCCCCCTCGTCGTTTCTTGCACTGCGTCATTATGCAGTGGGAATTGAATCATCTATCCATTCTGTGGTATTAATTAGTCCTGCAGAAATCATGAGTTGACACTTCAACTAACAGGATTTTCCAAGCTTAGTTCGGACCGAACGTCATAATTGATCTTCATCCGCGTAACTACTGTCACACGTTTTCAAGTTAAATACATTAATTACGGCTCATTACAGTTGCGTCGGGGATGTTTACCAGCAGCAAGCGTATGTTGTTTGTAATATTAGCCGCAGAAGACTAAAATTACTGATCTGTAGGTAGATCGATGTATGAACCTGTCCAATACTGTTTCCTGTTTTTATATGTTCTCATTTTGATCGTATCACTTGTCCCCCAACAACCGGGCAAGGAATAAACGAAGAAAGCAACTTTGTACAACAGGGAAGTCGTATAAGTCAAATTGTCCGTGAAACAACAAAGCTGAGTGCCGATATTACACACAAAAATCCGATTATTGGTGTGTATGTGCTTCAAACGTGTCAACGTTTGTCATAAAAAGAAGCAGTAATTAGGTTATATAGAAACAGACACTTAATTTCCACACAGAATAGTCATAGTTCGATGAGGCTGCGTCCTTGTTGTTTACCGTGAAAGATTGAAAGATGTCAATTAGCCCTGTTATCAGAGGTTATTTATTTTTGATAGAGTATAATTTTGACACCGTAACATGGAAATTAATCTTAGAATTGTAACTTTTAACCCTTGTTTAACTAGCTAACGTAAGCATCTTTTTCTTCAAAAGTTTTAATTATCAGTTGAGAGACGCATATGTAAAGGCATTGCATGTGCTGCAGTAGCACTACATAAAGTTGTTGTTAGAAGTGCAGTTTAATAACACAAAATGTACGTATATTTCAAGTGTAAAATTTAAACTTATTTTTTTTTTCGGAGAATTTGAAATGGGCAAGTGGCAACCAAGTGAGCTCAAATTTAAGTAGGATGATCATGAAATACTTTGCAATAGTTCAACTGAATAATTTGATGTGACCTATTAAGCGAAACATAGCCTAATTCATGGCTTCAACAAGCTGTGACTGTTTTCGTCAAAGATAAACAACAGAGAAAAGCTGAAAGTAGTTTTTTTTATACTTACGCTTGGTGACGAACAGGTAATTCAGCAGATGATAATTCAAATTCAACGAATTGAAGAAAAAATATCGAATAAGTCAAACCAATTCAATGTTAAGTCTTCCGTTAATTCGTTTCAAAACCACCTCATAAAGGTCAGATGAGCTGGGCTGCTATTTTGACAACAACTACTTTCAGACGTCAATAAAATTGCATCTCGAGGTCATATGCCTTCCGAAACGAGTCATATACTGACGATGGACGCAGAACTGTCCAATTTTCTATGGAACTTACACATACCATGGGACATTTATGCGTCCACCGGAAGTATATTAGAGCAAAGCTTCGAAGAGGGAATTGATCTCTCATAGGCCAGTGTCTGCTTCTTCGACTCAATCGTGTAGTTCGATATGTTGGTGCAACCTGGTATTTACATTACAATTTTTGGAAAATCCCGGAATTTGGCATTTTCATGATCCAGGGAAAACCCTTGTTTTCGTCCCGGGATTTCCCAAGAAAGAACATCGACGACGAAACAAACAGGGGTCACATTATGCAACCAAGTCGAAACGACTTACAAAAAACGCTTCGTTTTGACTTCCCCAACGAGGGCCCCAGTTTTTTTTTCAGCTTTTCCATGAAGAATCTCAAGTGTTTCTCAAAAATTAGTGCACAGCGCTTAAATTTAAAAATAAAAATCCGTTGTACGAGGTGAAGGTTTTTCATGGGCTGTTATTTTTACTAAAATCCGTTTACTAGAAAAAAAATGATAATCCAGAGTTTTACTAAACTTTCTCAAACTTCATACAGACTCTGCCAATAAAGCGCATAGATACCGATAAATCAAAAAATAGTTGTTCAACCACCAGCCAAGATTTAAAAATCTATCTTTTCACAGTGATTCAAAAAAAAGTATATTCGAGTGTACGGTCAATTTTGAGATATACTCTTCATACCTCAAAATGTTGCTGATTTCGAGTTGTCGATAAAAGTTCAAGCTGCACAACAGCTATATACAGGCAAAAAATGGCTTGCCAAGAATTGCCACACTCGTCTGAGAAGTTTGGATAACGCTCCAATGCTTTACAACCGTTTTTGATAATTCCTTCGAAAATAATAGATAAAGCAGCAATTGATCATTTAGTTTAAAATTACGTGTTTATTCAAAAGATTGCTCTTAAATTATTTATATATTGAATAGCTCTTCTTTTATTCTTATTGGAATGATGCTGAGTGATTTCCATACTCTCCAATATAGAAACTTGCGCTGGTTGGCTCAACTTTTAGATAGTCTGTTTGGCTTTGCTGGATTCGTCTTCGCCAGTCTGTGTTTAACTATACCGTGTGTACATTAAATCCTTAAAAAAATATCATATTCGCAATATCGTATAACGGCACTGTATTGAATATAATTTCTTAAAATGCAAAAATCCACAGTGCAAGATGACAGTAAACAGTATATTGAGCATAAATTCATTTTGTTTCTATGGTTCAGTTTTCACTCAGTTTTTGTATGGACATAAAGAAAAACTGAATTATTCAAGATCCATTGATGAAAAAATCGGTAGTACTCTCAAAATGAACGGAAAAGTCCCATCTTTTAAATGGTAATGGTTTTGGAAACGCCAATGTTGTTATTTTAATGTTATTCTTATATGCACGAATTATCGGTAGTCCAACCAATATTCGAGTTGCCTATTCACAGAGTGGATCAAAACTATTGTTGAATTTTACTGAATTTGAAAATTTATGCAAACAGTATGCTGATTTTGAACAATCATTGTCGATAAAAGCTAGTTGTACCATGTCCATATTGGAATACAGTAACAACGAAACATAGAGCCATAACTATAATTCGAACTTTGCAAAAAGGCTTAGGTGTCCGGATTGAATTAGTCAAACACAATTAAAAACAAATGATCAGATCTCATCCCAGAAGCAACCGATTATTCGTTTTTCTTGACATCGTATTGTTTTAACATGATAACCTCAGTAATCCGACCACGATTTTGTTAGATAAACGGAGCGTGACTGTTGAGAAAATGTTTCACTTACCGGGACTACCAAGGAAGACTGAGGAATATAACACACGCCTGTTTGCGTCCACTCGGGAGTCGGGAGGTGATGACCAATCTCGCCGCGAACACCATCGACCTGAAATACAAAAAGAAGAAAGGACATGGTGCTTATTTTAATATTTGCAACATTTGTGGGCTACCCTCTGGTGGGTCGCAAGGACAACAGATAATCCAAATAGAGCTACAACTACAACTTGCTTCAAAATCATTTGGGATCTTCAATCTAATTTTTGGCATTTTAGAGGTTGTTTTGACGTCTCAAGACTGTTCTTTCTTTGAATTTTAGAGCTATTTTCACACTTCCAGGCTATTTTACCATAATTGAGGTTATTTTGGTATTTCAAAGTCTAGACCATATTGATTATATTAGTATATTTGTTGCATTTCAAGATTATCATAACTGCTGTCGTTTTCAATAGTTGTCAGGCAGTTTCAATGATTGTATGGTCATTTTGACGTTTATAAAACGATTATATTCACCATTTTACTATTTTAGTGCCGCTTTGGTAAATATGGGATTGTTTATCGATTACGAAGCTATTTTTGTTGATTTCCAGTTTAAAGGCAATGTTGAGGGTTTCAGGAGGTTTGAAAAAGTTGTTTCAGTATTTTGAGGCAATTTTGCAATTTTCAAACTTAGGTTTAATTTTTTGGGTTTTAGTCTTGACGGCTTTTTATAACATATTGGCCTTACATCACCTGTACCAGGTTTTTTAATCAAAAGCCACCGCTAATGTCTTCAAAGCAAATTCACCATGGTATGCGTTAACGCTCAATTCCAGGTCCTGGGTGTTAATCAGTTTGTCTTGAGCCTGGACCTCACGGGGGGTCTTTCGGATGCCACCAGATGATCGCCTTCCCGATCCTGTAGCATCCGGACTTCGAAGATTCAGATTATAAAAAGCTTCAGGGGTTGGTCGATAAAAGGTGCACATCGGGAATTCCAACACCGCCCCTCCCACCAGGTCAGTGTATCGTGTTTGATGGATGAAGTATTTGGTGTGGTGTAATTCGACTACTGATCTCACTAGTACGGAGGTGTAATGAGCTATAATATCAGATTTTGATTGGTTGTGTTATTATTTGTTAGCTATAGAGCACTGAACTATTTAATATTGTCTTCTTCTTCTTTTGGCTCTAGTGCGACTTTACCCCAGCTCTCAACATAGTGTTCTTGAGCACTTCCATAGTTGTTAATTGAGAGCTTTCTAAGCCAGTAGCATTTTAGCATTAGTATTATTGTGCGGGAAGTACAATCATACTCGATGCCCTGGTAGCCGAGAAAATTTTACGAACTGTATGGATTTGCTTTATAGTTACGCCTTTACCGATTGAGCTAAGGGAGACCCCTACGAATGGTCATTAGAGTGTCCAAAAAACATTTTGTCAGAGATCCTCATTTTCCATCCTCAAAAATGATAAGTTTTCACAGCCATTAAGGGACGATCCATTTAGTACGTCACGCTGCAAGGGAGAACGGAGGGTCCCTTTTGAAAAAATGTGACAAAAGTGGGAAATATTACTGAAATACAACCCTTTAATTTTTCTAACGCTTTTCTTAGGTTCCATATTATTCTCGTAAGCTCAGCTGTGAATAAACTTCGCATTCGTTAATACTCTTGCTTGCAAGTTGTATGCAGTATTGTCAATTTTGTTCGATACATCACGTTAGTTTATATTAGAGGTATTCACAAAGCGCATCGTAAACGTATACACCTTCGTAAATGTGTAAACTTCCATTACACTCCAATTGACCCTGGTATTTTTACGATAGTGTATATGTTTACAATGCGCATAGTGAATACCCCTATTATACTTATAAATGTATACCCCGGATAAACTTATGCCCAATCTAGCATTATTGTATTGGAACCAAGCAGGACATTGCTGCAGAGACAGGGATTAATGGCAGCGGAGCCTCAACAAGGAAAACAAACACATCGATAGGAAGTAGCCAGGGTCGAAGTCTATCACATTGGCCCTTTGCACCCCTGACTAACCACCAGTGTAACTGTATAGCTTCATTTAAATTTGGAATTTATTTACTGAGGCAGAAGAAGAAAATTGGTTGAAACTTACTACCCAACAAACAATTTTAGCTGCAGATATACAGACTAAAATTAGCTTTATAAGCCAATTTTTGGCTATAAACGCAAATCTGCAAACAGTAAAAAAAAAAGTAGCGTACTGATGCACATAAATGGAGCGTCATATAACATACAAGTTCACATTATAGATCGTGTAAATTTATGAGACATGGCATAAAATATTCCATATATTGTATGCAACCGTCCATCTTTGTGAACAACATTTCTTGCAAGTTGCTATTTTACGTGAAAAGTAAGTTTACATGCATGAATGTTTGCATGCATGGATGTTTGCATGCATGGATATTAAAATCACCATTAGAATTCAGATTTTTTTTTCATTGCAGCTAAAATTGTTAGTTGGGAAGTTAACTAGAACAACCACATTACTTCAAAAATAATGCGGTGTGAATTGTTCATAGAACGTATTTTCACTAAAAAAAATACGGTTTTCTAAACACATTCATGATTAAACTCATCCTTGCAAGACAAAACAAGGGAAAAACATATAGATGCAATGCAATTTTCATATTATAGCTCCAGTGTAAGATGCTAGAAGGTAGAATTCGTTCCTCTTGACGATAATGAAATTGCATGGACGACAGTGACGTCGTCGTCGTCTTCGTTGCCGTCGTCGTCAGTATATCATAACACCATTAAAAGGAGGAGGGATTGATTTAAGGCCCTACCTGCCGCCCAGTAAACAACTTGCCGAAGTTCTCGCCGTCTCTTTCCAGCATCGTTGAAATGTCTCAAAGTGCGCCATCCGACGTCCGATCGTCCGTCCGCTCGTCCGTCCGTTCGTCCGTCCGTTCGTCCACGTGCGCTTGTGTGCGAGTTGGCGTATATCTCATACCAACGTGATGCGATTGCGGACTTTTTCTTTGACGATGTATTTTAAAAAGAGCAAACAGCGCCTAGCATGATATCAGCCATGCATACACTCGCTGTCTTGTACGGAGCCGACAGTGAGAGAGCAAGAAAATTCTCGCCATCGTAAGAGAGCGAATGAAGGAAAAAATCAGCATTACCTACACTAAGGAAAATAATTGAAATGAAACTTGCGCACAATTGGCTCGGTTTCGCGACGTTGGTTATCAGCAGTGGTCTTGTAGACGAGGCTGATGTTGGTGCTGTCTTCTTTTTTACGTTTACAAAATCCTATTGCTGTCGTTGCCTCATCTTATCCATCTCACAGTGCAATTTCGTTCGTTCCTCCTCTGCAATAGACCCCCTCGGATCTACCGTGCAGCACTTGCACAATTTCAATGAATTTCAATAATAATTGCAATTTAATTATTTCTCCATGCTTATGTTCAGAAATGGCCGCAGTCAGTGTTGCTTCTGAAAGTGTATTTGTGAATATTTTTATGCGTTTAAGATATAGTTTTCGTGTTGTTTTTCTTCTTCTGGTTGTGTGTTGTACACACTTCAACAGAGTCTGAAATGCTTAGCACTCGCAGCCGGTTCTCGTGCGACCGATCGATCCTCCTCAGATACAATCCCCCCGGCTTTGTAAATCCGGTTTCGCGCGTTGGCGTCTCACGATCGCTCGGCTTTTGATTCGATGCACTGTGAAAATTAATCATATTTTGTTATCATCTATGTGACTAATAAAGTCCGCAACATAGCATTCACATCAGAAGGCGGCTCTGCTGCTCAGTGCACTACATATTTACTTGTTGATGTTATACAGCATTTAGCAGGACGTTTTGGAATGCGCACCGCTCGCGCTGTGCGCTACAGTGGGTTAGTATTCAAAACCGCATCTTTTGCCATTGTTTAAGATATGTACATCATCGATATTACTCAAGATTTTTAGCAATTTCTTTAAGGTTCTAGTCTACTGGAAGTCAAATGGAGTAGTACTTTTTAAGAAATAAATACTTTTTATCTTTTGGTAATTAAATCTTTCTTTTTGGCTCTTGACTGGGCATTAAGCCCGTCCTCAACCTAGTTTTGTTTAATTATTCGTGAAAGTACCCTAACATAAAAATAACATACTCGAACGATATCCTAAATGATAGAACTATTCCACAATTGGTTTTGGTGGTACCCTGAACACGTCGTTAAGTAAAATAACTATATAAATTTTATTAGGGTAATTTTTCCCCACCCATTTATGATACTCTTTGCCCAAATATATTCAGCCTTAAAAGATCCTCGGTTCATTACCGCACCTTTACTTACTATACTAAGGCAGATCCCACAAAACTAATACAGTGAAAAATTATAATTAACATTGACAAAAGGAACGTAGGAATACAACTTTTGACGAAATCCACGAACGGCGGAGGTAGTAGTGCGTTAAGCGTCATAGTCATCCACCACAGTAGGCCACGTTCAATCCCAGCCGAGGTAGTTGAAAATTATTGAGATGATTTTTCTTTGGTAGCTGAAAGTAAAGTCGTTTTATCCAACCCAGATAGCATGCCGCAACTATAGTGTTCACTCACCCACCGGTGGCTTTTTTTGGCGACAGATACCGACGGAAAATGGAGAAAGACGTCTCATCCAATACGTAGCGAATCTCCATGGTACCAATACATGATACATAAAGATCTCGTTATCACTGTATAGCCTTGAATATGGTTCATTTGACTAAACAACGTTACATTCCACAGATAATTTAAAAAGTGCTACACATTAGGCCTTTGTTTGATTTTTTCTTTGCAAAAATTACGATGCCTTAAAAGAGCTGGTTGATTGTCACATTCATATTATACGAAGAGACAAGATCAAAAGCCACACTCGCAAGAAAGATGGCACTAATTTTCGATTGGATGAATTCTCATGGGACTGAGTGGTAAACATCGTAATTACCTCTTCGTTGGCTTCGGGCTCTTACAAGGGCACCAATCTGATCTTTGTTGATGCGTTTTCGCTATGTGAGTAATATACTCCATTGCTAGAGAGTTGGTAAAATGTTCATACAGATTCTGCTCAGCGGGTTCATCCCGGGCCCGAGTCTAGGGTAACAAAGTCCAGC